GCACCAAGTTTCATCAAAAACCGATGTATGGTTCTTGAGATAGCAGTGGAACAGTCGGACACACATACACACACACACACATACACACATACACACATACACACATACACACATACACACACACATACAGACACACTAACTGCAAAGACTCCCATTTTGTGCTTCGCACATGGGAGTCAATAAAATGTATACAAGTGTTGTAATGTCCGATGTAATAGCCACATGTTGAGTTGAGTTTATTTTAATTTATAATGTGAACTATTCCAGTTCATGGATGCCAATGAAATTTGAGAACAACTGAAATGTACAAGTAAGTCAGACTCTTTTAAATGAATGTATCAAGTATACACATGAATTATTTGCCCCAACACATTGGTTTATTCTTTATTCTAAGTTGCGACTGATATGTTTGTGTGGGCTTGATTGGCAGTCGTAGAATAATAGATTTTCTTGGATTAAAACAGTTTGCGAGCAGGGGTACAGCCACGTATGACTGCATGCATTTTAAAAGGGCGTACACCCTCCCCCCAGGTCTCTTGGCCGACAGTTTTTTTTTTACAAACCTACCCCTTGGAAGCTTAAAAATTACGATCGCATGGATTTACATCATCTATGGGGAGTGTGCATGATATGAAAAAAATAATATCAAAAATATGACCCCCCTCGGAATTAAATCATCTGTAGGGGTGTGGATATGGAAAAAAAAATAATCAAAAAATGACACCTCTCGGAATTGGACCATGCATACTTTTTGTAGAAATATGACCCCCTCAAAAACTGGAATGACCCACAACAGACATGTACACAGGGCCAATCCATGCCATGGTCCGATACCACAATTTGTGTCTGATTGTGGTTGAATACACTAACCTTAACAGTTTCTAATGAACATCTTTCTAAAACAACAATGAGTCTTTTTTGGCTATCCCTTCCTTGTAATGTTTTCAGTTTCTTGGCTGGTTTTGGCCTAAGTTCTTCATCCCAGTTTTCTTCCATATCTCCACGTTTTCCTTTCTCGTTGGCAGCCATGTTTTGTTGAAAATAACGCCCTCATCGATCAGGTGAGAACTACTTTACTTTACTTATCGAAGAACAGCCATTGCTCGATTAAATTGTCTAAAAATTTTGAGAAGTAAATTCAAACTTGTTCAAAGCAGATTCATATCGCCTCCAATTACGTACCGGAGGCCAGGCTCACTTATGTGACCCTTTGAATAGGATTAAAAGGTTAAAAGGTCATCATTCGATGATTATTGCGCCCTCTACAAATATTTGAGTGGTGGTCGCCACAACTGTGTACTGTTGTTCTTGACGCCACGGTTACTAAAAAAGTAACCGTGTTGACGCCTACTATAGTTCTTGAAGGGTATGTATATGGGTATTGAAGTTTGAACTATCGTGTCCTGATTGCTGTGGTATCATGAAAGTAATTTAAACGTTGTCTATATTCGGTCCTGTATAAGGTAAGTTACAATGTATGACTCGTTTGTGTCTGGAGAAACGAAGTCATGACTCAATTATCGAGGCACCGTAAAAAGAACTACAAATTATAATACGTCAAGAAACAGAAATACCCCTTGCCTATGAATGATGTTTGCTTTGTGTATAATACCCGGATGTAATGATAATGAATTTCTGGTACAGTGGTCACTGTGGATACTTTATTTCAGTTGGAATTAGTTTTTGCTGAAAACTCATTTTGGCTGTTTTGTATGTATAGTTTATTTTCACTGATTTGTTAGTTCTACCACAGTCCCTCCTACGTAAAATATAGAAAAAAAAGATATTTTCAATGGAAAATAACGAAAATAAATTTCAAGTTGAAATAAAATACTTTACAGTATCTTGTCTGTCTGTCATGTTACCAGCTTTGTCTCAAAAATGTGTTATCCAATTCAGTTCAGAGTTGGTACAGAGACAGAAATTGATGGTGCTATTATGCACATCAAGTTATTTTAGTGTTTTTCTTTGATTTTTAACATTTTTCCTTCGAGTTTAATCCGAGTTTTGATGACGCAAACGCAGTTCTAGTCTCGATGGAAATCAGTCGTTTTTATGTGAGGATATTGTATCCCGGAATTGTACCTTCATTTGCGCAACGCTTATATGGACAAAATTGTGCCTCGTCAATTTCAAAGGTAAGAAACTGTGCTTGTTATGGTATTTATACACTTTGTATTATCGTTTGTGTCTCGGGTTTGGTGATTGTGAGAAACTTTTGCTAACCTGGCAAGAGCTTCGCCAGAAAAACTGCCTTTCTATTATTGTTGTAGGAACTGATTATGTATTGTGTAAATGGAAAGTTTACATCATGATTTAAGAGGTTTGCAGTGCTCTCACCGGGATTTAAACGTCGTGGTGGTGTCGGCGCAATGCTGCTCTGAGACGCTTGCCAGACTCTGCCTCGCTCAAAATCATTATCGCCATGCTTGATTTCCGCAACATTTACATTTGTTTATGATTTCCACAGCTATTGTTCTATGAGATGCGTTCTCGCTGTTCATAAACAGCCATAAACAAGTTTAGTTGGGTCGGCATGTACTCATTGAAAGTGTTGGTTTATTTACCTTAATCCACTGATCATGCCATAGGCGAAGTTAAAAATATGTCGCTACTCGGAGAGCTTGCCCAGAACTCTACTTGTCCCAAATAAACGTACCGGTACGTTAATTTTTTTCCCTGAAAAATTCCACCCGGTACATTCTTATTTGGGACGGTACGTTTATTTATTTTTCTAAATCGGCCCGATTAAAAAAAATCATGCCTTTTTCCCCATGAAAAACGAAGCCAAAAGATCGCACTGAAACATCGGTAAATCTGGTCTTCCATGTTGCTTTTGCCATGAACTGTCATATTTAAATGTTTTATGGTAATTTGAGCACATGGGCACCATCCAGCATTTTGATTTGTTGATTAGCGACTTGACCTATCAGGAGTGCGTTCGCGTCGTCGCCTCGGGGTGACCCGGGGTGCCTCGCGTCTGCCCAGTTTTCGTTCGACTGCTAAGTGAGGTCACTCAACTGGGGCGACTCGGGCAGTTTTTACCGCCCCCTGCTTACAGAGCCGGGGAAGTTTGTGAAAAAGATAGCAAACAACGAAATCGATAGGTAAAAAGATGTTTTTCTCAAACATAAAATGCAACTGGGCGTGATTTTAAAATAAATTTTATACATTTTACATGAGTTTCGCTCGCATACCAACAGACCAATACGATCACGTGATACTACTTCCTCGGATTACGTTCGAGTAAACTTCTTCTTCGGGGAACGCTTTCATTGCCACAGGTCACTACTGCCACGTCACTTGGGGCTCTCCGAGGGAGCGACGCGTACACACTCCAAGTCAATAAACACTCCTCGTGCGAAAGATAACATGGCGGATATCACATCGCTTCGGGCGTTAACATGTAACCGAAAACATTTGCTTACGATAAAACTAAGTTGAATTTTACTTGCATTTAATAACAATTCACCGAATTTATTTTTTGTACGTTAATATAATCACTACTGAGTACTAATCAACAATTATAACACCTCGAAAACAAGTAAGCTACTGTACCGTGATCATTTGTTGTCATGTGATTGGTTTTTTTGATTGACTGTAATTTTCATGATGCCTATTGTAGAACCAAATTAGGGCCTTTCACTCCTCCTTGACGCCTATTTAAACGATTATACGGCATCTTGCTTTTTGCCAGCCACGAATGTCGCACTAGACGAACTTGATCGATACTGCCGACCATTCCATGCATTTTTTATCGATGTACGACAGCACGCAAATCGAGAAAAGTATTGTCCTTGCAACAATTACGCGCAATACGTCACCACTATACAGTGACTGATTTTAATTTTTATTCAACAAACTACAGTGAGTTGTTCTATGGTCGTATAAAAATAAAATAAACTACATTAAGATACAGTAAAGTTAACCAACGAAACAGAATGCTTAATACAACTAAATAATATTACAAACACATATAGAATCACAATAAACTTGTACGATACAGTACAATACAATACTCTACCTATTATTGCTAAGGAGTGGAAAATCACATTCACATTAGAGTCATAACTATGGAAAGAATATTTTTATATTTGGTGGAGCTGCTCATATATCATCTGCATACATTTTTGTATGTATTGTGCAGTTTCCCAGCCAGTCCGACTCGAGTAGTGATTGGTTTGCTATTTCATTACATCTTGCAGCCTTTCAAACAGTATATTGCTAGACATGCATCAATTGTTGTCCATGTATATTCCTAATTGCTCAGTGTAAACTGCAATTTCTTTCTAGCTGGTATGAATATATTAAGTAATATTTTTTCGCACTGAAAAGATGGCACACAAATATCTTTTTTAATTAAATTTAACAGCTAATGGGA